AGACTCTAGAAATGTTGCCCCCATCGAAATGCGACTGCGCGACCGGAATCGAACCCACGACCTTCGGATAGCAGCCGAGCACCATATATCTACTAATCCACCGAGGCGAATGGTCCTGTGGCATTGGTTTCATTCTGTCCAGCAGAAATATTATACAACTTCTTTCCTTTGAAGATTGGGACAACATGTTAGCACATTACCGGAGTGTATACATACGTCAGTCATGTGGTGACATCTTCACGCGACGATTATTCTTGCATCTCTCGTGTTGTCGTCCCCGACGGTAAATTTTCATGTTTGATGAGGCATGAAAGGTTTTAGCCTTAAAAAAAGCAAGTTGACGTGAAAGAGATGTACGATTCTTGCAAAGTTTTGTTAAGTTGCTGGTGACTCTTAGCGATACCTTAAGTAAATTGAATCTCAGTGAAACTTATACGTCTCATGCGAATGTGATTCTGAAGAATAAGTCGGCTTGAGAGAAATGAAGCAAGAATTATCACATATCTGGACAGGCAGTGCATTACCTTCCTGTTTACAGGGTTCACGTTATACTGAATAAAACGGCGTTCGCGGGAATATGCATGGCCAGGGGAGGCTGGACAAGCTTAAAAATGGAGCACGGCGAGCCGAAAGCGTCTTAGAGTTCAGACAGGACTTTTCAGTTTCAGATACATCGGCACTCATGCTATCACTTTTGAGTATTCTTGGCGCTATAGTATAAGAGATCCTCCGATTGTTTTGATACAAGTTCTTTAAACTGATGTAGATGCTTCCCTGTGCATCTCTTCGTTGTTTCTTCTCTGTAGAATTAGCTTTTGCTTCTTTTAACAAACATATGCTTGACATATACTGCAAAAAGAGTGTCTTCTTGGGCTGGTTGGTATTGCAATTTTGAAAGAAATATACTTTCTAGGTGCGCAGGGAACGTTTCAGAAAGAAGGCAGATAGGACAGAGCACACTGTCCTATATATATCTCTGTCATATATATTTCTGAAAGTGCGTTCTATCCTATATCTGTCTTCTTTCTGAAACATTCCCAGCACCCTAATAAAACATACTTATTTCAAAAATATGCATGACGTGATAAAAAAGTTTTAGTTTCTTTGCATTCGCTTCGAAGTAGCGTTCAGGGATTCATATATTTTGTGACCGAGATATTTGTTCATTCGGCAGTCCATGGAATTACGGAAGCCCTTCGACCACACCTTGCTTGTGTGCTTGCTTGTTTCAGCATATGATTTGGCATGTATACATAACCACTGCGGGGGGCGGGGGGGGGGGCGGAGGGTTAAATTGGTGGTTATTGTAATGAGAAAAAAAGGAATTTCAAATTTTCACAAAAAATATTTATTTCGTCATCTATGTAGGGAACATAGAAGTGGATAATCATAAGGTGACTTACGAATAAAGTAGGTAAATAACTAATAATAGAAATGGATAAATTTATTTGTTTATTCGGCAATACATGATTGCCGTGGTGCAGGAGATGAAAGGCAACATTATGAGTCACATGACAAGGCCTCTAGCACCTGGATGGTAATTCCAAATAACAAGAATTTTATTAGTTAAGAAAGAAAAAATAAACAAGCAAACCTTCTTGTGTCTCTGAGAAATTCACAAAATGCTACGCAGACGCTTTTGTTGCTGTGGCCCAGGGAAGAAGCCACAAGAAAAAGGATTTTTTCAGAATTAAGAGTAATGTCTAATTTTCTGAATATTGTTTCTAAATGTTTCTTCCTGTGGCTTGCGAAGCGTCGGCAAGTAAATAAACAATGATTGATGTTTTCTGGCTCTTGATAGCAAAAGCAAAGGGGAGATGGTAACTGACCAGATCTATACAAATAGAAATTGAGAAGTGGAATCCGGCCTCAAATTTTTGGGATGCACACTTTGAGTTTGCGAGAGGAGCAACATTCATTATTCAAAGCAAAAGAAAGATGGCCGTATTCTTGAACGGGCAATCTAATTTTTATGGAATCATGAAGTAAAGACTATTTACGAAATCAAGATTCAGTGACAAAACTGGCTGGTATGAGGTACAATAGACAATCTAGGAACCACCGTGAAGGAGTGTCAGCCATTTTATTTATAAATATGCCTTGGTGACCTGGCACCCACGCCAAGCGCACTGTATACGTAAGTGTTTGGGATAAGCGAAGGCATTCTAAGGAGAATACTCAAATGAAGAAGCTGAGGTTATGGATCTACATACGGAAAGCGAATCAGTATACAGTAACAACTGCCGAATCATTGATTGAAAGTTTTCTAAGGTTCAAAATAATTACTAAAAGTTCTGCTTCAAATATAGGAGTGTAATCTGGGAGACGTACCAAGAATGACCAAGACAATGTCTATGAGAAGATGCCTACCCCCACTTTCTCTTCACACATCACTGCCTTCGTAGCAATAACATTAACAACTCCCAATTGAAGTATATAGTCTAAACCTTTTAGATATATGTTAGATACAAGCTTGGCATTATAGAAGAGAATATATATCAGCAACTTCAATTTTGGTTTTTGCCAATGAGTCATTTGAAACCACACTGCGTATGTTAACGTTTGAAGGTTCTATAGCTGCTCTTTAACAAACAACACTTGAGACCTAGGCTTATTAAAAATGTTCTCGGTTCGGTAATGAATACAAACTGCAAACGTCTAAGAGAAGAAGAGTAAATTTTAAATATAATTTAATGGTAAGCATGCGGAATCTTCAAGTGAGAGTGGGAATTCGGGTTTTTTTGATATAACACACTGTTTGCAGTAAATTACGAAACCCTCATAAAACCTCGAAGAGCCTTTCGTTCTAAGATAACGAGGGAATTGATCTTATATGCATGCTGGCCCCCCAGATTATAATAACACACATTAGCTTAAAGGAACCTAGTTTTATTTTTTTCACATATTTCCGCAATGTCCGCGACTCGCACGCTCTAACTCGAAATAGACCAGGCGATAGATAAATTTTAGTTGTGAGGCTGACATCTAGGTCTTTCGTATTTTTTTGAAAGCCCACACAAATTGTTTTTACAGCGTGAATCTTGAACGCTTCCATGTCGGGCCTTATTTTTGGCGCTGTGTGCTTTATTCAAGATTGAAGCAAAATCACAATTATCAGATTTGATGCTCTTATGGCCCGATTTCACGCATGAGGGTCTAGTCAAATTTAGTTATGTTCCCGAAGACTATGAAATATTTGAAAGGCTGCAAAATTAATCGTAGAACTCTAAAATAAAAATGCTCAGCTTATGATGAGAATACGTGTTGTTAGATTGCGAACTGTCAGGTGTCATGTTCGAGCCCTAAATAAGTAAAAAAAAAAGATAACCTCCAAGTTCTTTATTTATATCAATCTATGTTGAACGTCAGTTTCAGTATGAGAATGTGTTGGGTTTAGTCTCGAACGGCATAACAATCGTCATGCCATACCAACTAGCCCAAGCTGCCACACTTCTAAGGCATGCTGGAGTCAGGCGCGTAGCCAAAACTTATTTTTTTCAAGGGGTGGGGAGGGGCGGGGGAGGGGCATCTTTTTGATTTCGGTGAGGGCACCCCCTTGAAATGTTAGTTTTTTTGCTCTCTATGCAAATGTGAAAAAATGGGGGGGGGGGGGGGGGCACCGGCATAGGTTTGGTGTGCGCAACCCCCTGGCTGGAGTACTCCGATTTTGGTTTATATGCTTGAGCGATTTTAACATCAGTGAAGACTGCCTGTGTGCCTAACTTTACCGGAGAATGTTACCGGAGAAACTCTGAGGACACGGACGAGATGAAATTTGGTCTTTGAATTCTCTGACAGCAAAGTTGTAGTTGATGGGACAACGTGGTCGCCAGTGCATGACCGCCTTATATGAAATCACGCTACACTTCCATTAGCATGATTTATCAAAAGGTCTTACAAGCCTTTGTTTTTTTTCCTTTGTTCATCGCTGTCAAGCGTGCTTTCTTATGTTGCTGTTTTTTGCATATTAGTGCAAAAGACAAACGTTCCGGTTCGCTGCACCCTTCTGTGTCGTCGACAGGAAGTCGGACTTTTAGTGGCAGGTAACAAATTGTTTTTCGGGCCAATGCTTGTGCGTATTGTTTAGCCACGGGATAGGCATGTCTACATTTTGCATTGTACGCCATATGTGTTGCTTTGTAGTAATTAAATATCCTCAAATATTTCGATTTTAAGAAACGTTTTTGGTTACTCTTATTGTCATGAAAGCACTTTTTTCTCCAGTTTTTATTTGGATTCTTTAAAATGTATTCAACAGATGTGGTTGTTGAATTTTAATATTTAATTATGATTACGTCAGAGGGCACTCGACATTTCGCATTGTGGGATATACGTATTGCTACATAATAATCAGTGTCCGCTACCTCTTTGCATTCTTTGTTTTTAGGTCCGATAAAAGTTGTTATTTTTCCTGATTTTTTTCCCGGAACTTATTTCTGATTACGCTAATGATGTTTCAAACGAATGCGATTGTTCCTTTAACCACTCTAAAAAATATCTGTGATTTTGTGATTTGTTCTATTTGTATTTGTTATATTCTTCATCTCCATGCCACTGCATAGCAATATGAAGCCTTGAAGCTTGTGCAGGTGAACTGAAATTTGCTTAAAGACATCATATACAGACATCCCTTACACAGTCGTTTTTTTTTTCGCAATGTATTTTGGTCGGAGTTTTCGCATTCCTCCAGTTTATATCCCATGCAGCAAATTAGACTTCCGCCAAAACGTTCACCTTTGATTCTTACAGAGCTTGTGTCGCTGCAGTTTCACGTGGAATACGACGGTCAAAAATGTTCTTCCGTTTGTTTTTCTCCATCATCTTCCCTTTTTAAATGTTTCTTTGTCTCGGGTCTTTACTGCAGTGTCGAATGTGGTTTATATTGTGCTGCGATGCCTTGTGGCCATGCAGTGCAACAACCATCTGCACGTGGCTGCACAGTGAACGAGACTGCGTCCAGCGCGTCACGTACACGATTGGACTCAGGGACACACAACAGGCCATTCAGAAGTGTAGGATGTGTATTTATCCTATAGCGTTCGTGAGATATAAGAGAATGTCCTTGCCGCCAGTGCGAGGACCGCGAACAACGGGGAGGAGAAAGGACAGCAAGAGGCACCTATGTACAGAAAAGACAGAGAGAAGAGCGAGTCTAGACCGCCAACGTGACGGCGATCATCTTTTGCACGAACGAGTCTTTTTTTTCTTTTTTGAGTATCTGTACAGGTGACTATGTCAACACACGCGCACACATACATGCGCCGCAGCGCCAAGGAGTTCATAGGTCAACGTGCACCACTGTTCGTCGCTGTTCTTGGGGGGCCGCACTGGGGGGAGGGGGGTCACCAGTTTTTTTCCGAACGTCCAGCAATCGAGGACTGCACGTAGCTAGCGAGAGGCGAGAAGCAGGGGTGACGACCAGCAAAAGTGCGTGCCGTCCTTCCGGTGCATTTGGTCTCTTGCACGGCGTGCGTCAGCACCAGGAGGACAGCCAAGAAACACGACCGATGTTGCGTTCGGGGATCGACGAAAATCCGATGTCCGGGCATCGTTGCAACCAGCGAGGTCTTGGACACAACCAAGTCCCACTTTTCTGCGTTGTCTCGTGCATTCAGCTGGACGATGGACTTGCGCTGGTGGACCGCACCGCCAGAGGTTATCACGGCCGAAAGGATTTGCCTTGAACACAACGAAGTACCATTTTTCTGCGTTGTCTTGTGCATTCAGCTGGACGATGGACTTGCGCCGGTGGACCGCACCGCCAGAGGTTATCACGGCCGGAAGGATTTGTCTGGAGTGCAGTTGTGAATCAGGCGGGGTGCGATCTGTAATCTTCTCTTGCAAGACAGTAATGGTGGAAGCTATGTTTCGCTGCAGGCCACAGTGGAAGAGCTTATAAAGCCATTGCAAGTACAACTCTGTCGTGTTGGTGCGCATATACCTCTGCGTACAAGTGATCTTCTAACCGCGGCGAACTATACACGTTGGTGCAAATTTCTGCAAGGCGCTCGCAGAGCGCTTCAGCAAAGCCGTGTATATCCATTTGGCTTTCACATCGAAGGCGTCGAGCGACGTATAACTGCAGAGCGTTGTTGAAAGCATTCTCCGCAGGCGCCGAAGATTTGGACGCCGTTCATCGGGATTTCGCGAGCTCGCGTGGCGAGCTCAAATTACGGGCGGACGCGCTTCGGCCGTGCTTTTGCATCTGGTGCGTGTACTCCGCGAACGACTGTTTTCTATCCGCAAGACATAATTGTGCCTAAATTTTACCACGCTTTTATGTGAACCGCGGGAGTTCTTGCTTGGAAGGAGCCAGGGTTAATGACAAGCGAGATTTCTAACGATTTGTAATGCATGGTTGGGGCTTCTGGAAATGTGTGGACACATTCAACAGGAAGGATATATTCATTAGCGAACCACGTGCATTCGGCCGTTTGTAATAGTAAGTTTCTATAGTACTAGTTAACTTTAAATTGAGGGCTCGCACCCGAGCGTTTACGCCACTGCCCTGTTTCCTGGCATATTGACAATTATTAGTACAGAAGACAAACTAAATCGTATTTGGGGCGATAAGTATAATTTCACCTGGCAACCATCCTTGAAATTCTATTCCACCCGTTTTCAGACTTATATAGGCGTACAGCCTTAGGGGGAAAGATCGCACAAAGCTTCAAGGCGGACTCTTCAGTGTGTACTTGACTATTGCACTAAATCGCGCACACAGCTTAAAGTATGCGCTTGCACCCCGCACCAGTTGCCACGAGCACGACCGAAACGCGTCGGGACGTCGTGGGCGACCCTTGGTCCCAGCGGCGGCGACGAGGGCTCAGTGTCACGAGGAGGAGTCGTCGTCGCCGGTGCCGCCCTGCTGCGACGAGGTCGAGTGGTTGTACAGGCCTTGCGCCATGAGCTGGAGGGCGAGCGGGTTCCGCTGTCCCGAGGCCTTCTTGATCTTGGCTCGCTTGTTCTGGAACCAGATCTTGATCTGCGACTCGTTGAGGCGCAGCTCGCGCGCCAGGTCCTGGCGGCGCTTCTCGGTCAGGTAGCGGTTCTCCTGGAACTCCTGCTTCAGGCGCGCCAGCTGGTCGGCCGTGAAGGCGGTCCGTGGCCGCTTTTCTTCCTTCTTCTCGCGCTTCTTCATGCGACGGGACCGGGGACCTGCGCACACGGCAAGAGACACGTCAGACGTTGTTATCGACACATCGGCAACTATAGCATGAGCAACATTCAAGTGAAGTAACCTGATCTGCCATCATTTCGAATGGGCGAGGACATGAGAGGGATTGGTATACCAGCAAGATGTAACATTTTAATATTTTGTAGACATCGTTTTATACGTGTACACATAACCCAGCACACAGTGTATAACACAATACTCATGCGCTCTGGTCATTGCTATCACTCCCACAAACTGCACAAGCTTTGTGCCTCGGTTTTCATATTAAGTAATAAAGTGCCCCGCAGAGGGCGCAAGTTTGAGAAGTAGTGAATAAGTACGACCAAGTAAGTGCTCGAGGAGGTTACAGATCAACATTCGGAAGGGGCTCAAGGACATTTATTTGAGTGTCCCGAGGCCAAGCTGGCGAAAATACGAGCTGTCGGCAGTGGGCAGAGTATTCATTCACGAAATGAAATGAATGAATGCATGCTCTTGAGCGCGTATTCTGAAAACCAAGCTGCAGACTAAACCAAACCATTTCGAAGAAGTAGTGATAAAAAAAAGTCAGTATAGTGCCGAAAACATGTTGCGAGGAAATTAACACCTTTAATGACGACTGCCGAAGCAAGTGCAAGAAAGGTTCACTAACGGTGTTCAAATATAAAGACCGTCATACCGCGTGCAACATTGCATACGGGCGTGATTACACTTGGCACAACGTTTCGCCAGCCCATCTCACTTATTCTATATGGCACTATCCCATTACGAAATACACGCTATACGAGGGCCCAGGAAGACAGGATTTTCGCGGCGTGTATAACAAACTGTCTTATCTAATTCGCATTCTTTACGTTACATTTCACGCGATTAATAGGCGTTGGCCTCACCCCGTGGTAACGTCCCCAACCACTGGCCAACTGTATACTCACTCACCCAAGAGCATCAGCGGGCTATCATCACGCCCCCCCCCCTCCCCCCGAAATCGCAAAAGCGCCCCCACAGCACGCGCGCGCCTGCGGCGGACGTGTTTCGAACCGTCGCCCTACGGCGCACCCCGCGCGTCATCGAATCGGCGACGCGTGATGCGCGCAGTCCAGGGTGGCGGCTGTTGCCCATTATCGGCTCGTTTTCCCCAAATCCTGGGCTTGCGGCGATAAGCGCGGCTCCCCGCGGCGTCTTTCCCACGGGTGGGCCCCCTACTCTCCCCTCGCCAGTTCGTCTCCTCCGATCGAGCGGTTACATCTCCCACCGCTAGCGTCGGGAGGCGCGACGGTGCCGACCGGAGAGCCAGCGCGAGCTCCGACGGCGTCGGAGTCTTTACCGCTCGGAGAGACGCGTCGTAAATAGTCGACGCCCCGCGCGTAAACGTCACTTCCTTTCTTCGTACTCCCCGGGAAGCGTGTTCGAGGGATGACGTGTGGTTCCGGTGGCCGCGACAATTACCGGCGAGAACACGGCATTTATGCGGGTCGAAGCCGCGTTATGTTGGCGTTTGTTCGTAGTACTGTGTATTATGCTGGTCCCTTGGCCCTTCTTGCTTGGTTTCACTGCATTACCTCGGTGTTCTACAGTTCATTGCTGCCGCCAGCAGCATAGCCAGAAATATTTTTCGGAAGCCGGGTTCAGACATAACGTTGTGTATGTCCGTGTCTTTGCATGTGTGCGTGTATTAATGAATCCGCAAGCAAAACTTAATAGAATGTTAGGGGGGGGGGAAGAACTAGCAACCGCCACGTTATTCACGATGTTAATGCTGCAACGTTCTCAATAGCGGCAACAAATGCGAAGGGTATGAAGTGGAAGTCTACTGAACACGACTTTCTCGTTCCTCTTCAATATCCGCCTTACCCGGATCTGTCACAAGCGCTCCGGGGTTTGCGGCACAATAGTGTCGGCCGGCGAAGCAATCGGTTCGTTGGATGCCGCTGATCTGCGGCCACACGGCGCAAATAGACCGCTCACAAAAAAGAAAAAAAGAAGAAAAAAAGATCATGATACCATATATAAAAGAAAAATAATAAAAAAGCCGCTCGTGCGTTAGAACTTCGTTCTTGCTGCTAATGCAGCTTTACCGCAAAACTTTCAGGTCATGAACTTGCGGTAAAGCCAACTTTAGGTCAGTGCATAGGCAGCTTGTGGGAACTTTCTTCGCCGTTCTCACTTCCCTCGTTCTTAAACGAATGTTACAGGGAACTTTCAAAACACATTCCGCCGACCCTTCCCCCCGCCCACCGTTTATATTGAGTTTCCCGTTATTTGCCTGTCAAACAAACATAAGTAACGTGGGGAGGTTAAAGACCGCATACGGCGCTGGTCACACAATGTAATAACAGGATTAATTTAAAGAAGACCCCGCGATATTGCAAAACGGCATCGTTATTGCGTGAGTTCTGTGCTTTAAAGTGACCGTGTTCTCTTGAACACGCATTCGTCCGGGAGATTGGAGTGGGACCCGCCTGACAGTTGCTAGTCCCGTATAATTTTATTCGCTCGTGCATGTATATGGTGTCCGTACACGCTTGGCTTTGTGAAAAAACTAATTGCGGGGCAAACAGTTGTCCAGCAATTACTACAGTCGTTGGCTGGTGATAAAGTATGCAAATTGTTTTCGGTATCGGCGCTGCTTACTCGACTGAGTCGGTAGTTTGCTAAAATTAAACATAAATAGCGGGGAATGGCCTTTGAGTGACTAAGTGCCTTTTATTCAAATAACTCTGGGGACGAAAAAGAAACTGAATTATTCGCTCCTGAACAAATTCAACTTCACCTATACAATGTATGCATAATTAGTAACAAGCTTGCGTGTTTGCAGGGAAGCACCCTTATATATACAGGGGTTCACAGGTGAACACGTTAACAATGCTGGCTTGTTTTTATTGAGGAAGCACGTTATAAAGAGCAAACTCCAGCGAAGATAAAACAAAACAACAACAATAAAAACGCATTTGCTCTTTGGAGAATGTCTCATCCAGTTCGAAATTCAACTCTGGCTGCCTTTTCAAACATTTATTAGTTGCGTGTGACAGTGATTCACATCAGTGCTTGTCGGTCTTGGGAATATTAGGCTTAATTTATATCTCATGCATGCGACTTCTCCATGGACCGCATAGTGCGCTACCCCGAATTCGCCTTGCTGCAAACTTCGCAGTGGTCATAAAAGGGAGACGTGTATAGACGAAAGAGGGTATACATAAGACGTTTAGAGGGGGCACCAAACAAGTGAACGGTATAACGACAAGGCATCAATCCCCATCCATAGAGAGTAAATCATCCAACAAGAGATAGAAATACGCACTTATTTACCTCTTCCGTTCTGCATGCCTTATGGCAACTGAAGATACAAGAAAGTACATGTCTGGTAATGGCATGTGTGCTCGAAGTGAATCTATATATGCAGCAAAAAAAAAAAAATCGAGTGAAGATCAATGTAATGCAGCCTATACATTTTATAATAGAAGTGAAGGGAGTGACATTATATACCCTTCTTCGAACTGAGACACATATAAACTCAGCCTCTGTGGGTACACGTGACTCGTTTGAGAGCATGGGGGGTGGGGGAGATGTTTATAGCAACGTTGCAATGGCACAATTGACTAAGTCAAATGTTGTATATTAAAATTTAATGAAACTGTGAGCCGGATGAGCTGGTGCTCATTTTTCATGCCAGCGGAACGCCAGCAGTTCTATGTATATGTATACACTTATATACATGCAGGCCAGCAGGCTATACAGGGAGAATGGTAGACATTCCTCTTCTTTTCTTTTCTTTTTGTGAGTGCGTGCATGGGTGACATCAATTTTCTGTCACCTTTTACTGCCCTTACCCCGCACCCCAGCACAGAGTAGCCAGCCGGTCTGGGAGCTGGCTAACCTCCCTGCATATCCTTCCGTTTTTCTTTTCCTCCTCCTCCTCCTTCTTGAGTGAAGCTTACGACAGTTACAAATTTTCTGACATCGTTCATGATATGACCAATGGCAGCATTCGGGTGGATAGGTGTTACTGCGGTTTCGAATCTACTTACATCTACTCGTTAATATACTGCGCACTAAAAGAGGAAACTGGAGGAAAACAGCCAGCGTCGATGTTAAGTGGGCTATTCTGTTCTTTGAACATGATATCCCCATGAGGTGTACAGAGAGAAAATAGGAATCGGTATATATGCCGCCGTCTTTGTGTTACCTATAGGAAGCACGACCATATATGCAGCTCACAATGCAGAAACGAGCAATGACAAATTTGTCATTATGCCATTTATTACCATTGAATAAATACTGCTTAAATATATGAGCTTAAGCACACACACACACACACACACACACACGTGTGTGTGTGTGTGTGTGTGTGTGTGTGTTTGTTTGTGTGTGTGTGTGTGTGTGTTTGTGTGTGTGTGTGTGTGTGTGTGTGTGTGTGTGTGTGTGTGTGTGTGTGTGTGTGTGTGTGGACAGTAATAACGAATAACCAATGTTCCAAAGATCAGTCGCTTTTACATGTCTATGCTTTCATTCCATCGCAGTATCGTTTTCTCAGTCTATAGCGAAGCGCTCAAACTCCTAGCAGCTGCTCTTTCCTCTATAGTCTTTCAAAATGCGGGCCCTCCTGCCACCGCGGAGCAATAACACGCTTAACCCTCTTTTGAAGCGCCCCTGCAAACAAGGCGTAGTCAAATTCAATCCAGCAAGAGCTGCGATGTGTGAGGCCGATGGAATTACAAATGCGGCTCTTCGCACGCTTTTATTTCCCGCTTATACGACCAGACGAAGGGGAGAGAGCGTAGGCGCCAGCTGTCGGCGCTCGCCACCTTGGGGTGTCGTCCACCGACACCTCCTCTCCACATCAACGACGAGAAGGCGGAGTCTCATTTCGGCTACGCCTACCAAACGACCGTGGCCAATGGAGTGCGAGAAGCCGGTTCGGCGCGCTGACAGGGGGCACGTCCCCGCTCAGGTGCTATGTGGAGTTTTTTTTTGACAGGACTTCCGAACTGCGGGCACCTCTCTC